CTGTGCAACCCCCATGCCTTAGAAGCTATGATTTTACAGAAACAGAAAAAGCCGGATACTCTGTCTGCCATATCCCCATCGGGATGAACACAGCACCTGGCGTTCGAGAGCCGAAGGATTCAGGGTCTGGCTCCCACTCGTTCATCTTGCACGTGACAACACCGAGGCACTTACTGCACGGTGGGCTGGGGGCAGTGCAAGGGCCTGGTGCGCTTGTCCTGGCTCCCTGACAGCGCCCTCTGTCCACCCGGCTTCCTCGAGGTGGACGGAGGAGGAAGCCAGGGCTTGATCCACGGGTGACGGTGGCCACGGCTCACAGTTCCTAGAGCTCGGCCCTCAGAGGGACCTTCTGTGTCTGGTGATTGCCCCTGGCCTGCTGCCACAGCAAGTGTCCATGCAGAGAGGCGGGAGGGGCCGTGGCTGTGAGGTCCCTGTGGACCTGGGCAGCGAGAGAACCGGTTCCTGGAGGTACCAAAGACACATCACAGGAGATGCCGCTGTCTTCTCTGATGGCGCTCTTGACCACTGTGGACTGTGGGAGTGTCTGCTGGGGGCCACGGAGAACTCAAAAGCCAAAGTCCTTCTTGTGGTTTGTGGATGGATGACACCTCAGTCTTTCCTGCTCACAGAGGGCTAGAGGGAGTTAAGGGGTTCCAGGATCTGGTGTTGACGGCATTTAGGGAGCTTGTTGCAAGAGCTGCATGAGAACAGACCCACCCCGAGGTCTGCTGGCTCCACATAGCCCCATCCTAAGCAGATGGGGGTCCCCAGCTCTGGGAGGACACCATTGCCAGCCCTGTGCCACCTGGAGTCTGTTCTGGTTTTCACATCTGGTCTCTCCCACTCGTTGGTGGTGAACCCTCCTGCCCTGGGGCTGCTGTGTGCATGCTCCCTCCCGGGGATCTGGTGTGCAGGGTTACGGGGCACTGCGTGGGGGTCCTGGAGACCCAACTGCTGAAGCCACGGATACGAGTGTGCCCACACGTCATCGCTGCCACTGAGGTCATGGGGACATCGGGAAATGCAGGCCTGGGGGCAGGGAGCCTGATACCCTTGTGCAGCCCATCCCAGACCCCCAGCAGCTGCATCCTCGCCTTCCTCCTACCCACTTCAAGGCTCTTAGTGTGGATTTTCTGTATTGGTTTTGCTTTGCATTTCAGTCATTTGATTTGGTGCCTGTCTCCCTGTCTCCCCCTTTCCTTGGTCGTGCCCTTGGGCTCAGGGGCTGTGTCTAGTTCATTGCTGTTGAGCTGACAGCCTCCATGTTGGCCCATGCACACGGGGTGGGTGGTGGTCCATCACTGAAGGGAGTTGTGGGAGTGAGGAGAACAGGGGCCAAGGAGCAGGGAGCTCTGGTGGCTCAGTGCTGGGTCTGCTGAGGGGGACAGGTGGGTCTCCCGAACCTGTATCTACAAAGCTGCTTCTCAGGAGGGTCCAGTGCTCCGAGCAATGTGGGAGGTAGGGCCTAAGAAGTCAAACACCCTAAAGCTGCTAAAACTGTGAGCGCTGGGGGCCAAGGCCCCCAACTTGACAGCTGTGCCGCCTTAGGTGGGCGTGTCCCCTCTCTGTGTTTGCTTTTTCATGTGTAAAGTGGGGACCAGGGCAACCTTCTCTTAGGATTGTGAGGGTTGCTGTCTCCGAGTTGAACATCAGGGCTGAGATGTAAAGTGAGCCCAGCTCCCCTGAAAACCCTCCCAGGCCTCCCACATCGCACCTGCCAACTTGCAGCCTTCTGCAGCAGAGGGTCCTGCCTGTGTTAAGGGCAGGGGCTTCTGTGACCCACGCTGCCTAGATGACCGGCTGCTCTCAGAACTGCCGAGGCCCCATGGGAAGCTGCTCTGTGGATGTGGCCAGACGGGCGGTGGGGTATGGCTCTACCTGCCATAGTTCCCAGAGAGCCGCTTCCAGGAGGCAGCTGGTGGCCTTGGCCTCAGTGGCCTCATCCTGGGTAAACTGGGCTGCAGGAAGTGCAATCTGTACCACCTGATTGGCTCAGCAGTGTTTTCTGTACCCACAATCACTTCTCTTTACCCAGCCTGAAGGAAACACCAGCTTTGTACTTCTTTCTTTTTTTTTTTTTTTAGATGTTGGGGGTAGGAGTTTATTAATTAATTAATTAATTTTTGCTGTGTTCGGTCTTTGTTTCTGTGCGAGGGCCTTCTCTAGCTGTGGCAAGCGGGGGCCACTCTTCATCACGGTGCGCGGGCCTCTCACTATCGCGGCCTCTCTTGTTGTGGAGCACAGGCTCCAGACGCGCAGGCTCAGTAGTTGTGGCTCACGGGCCTAGTTGCTCCGCGGCATATGGGATCCTCCCAGACGAGGGCTCGAACCCGTGTCCCCTGCATTAGCAGGCAGATTCTCAACCACTGCGCCACCAGGGAAGCCCCTGTACTTCTTTCTTTAGAGTCAATTCCATGTACATTGCCCACTGTTCTTGTAATAGGGGTGGGGCAGTTGAGCCGCCTTTATGTGGCTGTTACAGTCAGCTGGCGGGTGTCCTGGTGGCAGAGAGTGAATTGAGAGGTGGATTGCGGCCGTCTGCCCTGGGGGGCCCGGGGACAGGCTGGGGGCTGTGTCCCACGGAGCTCCAGAGCCCTGGCCTCGGCTGCCCACTGGCCGGGCCCAGGCCTTGAAGCAGAACGTACCTCTCCCCCATCCCCACCTCCGCAACCTGATGGCGGCGGCGGTCTCCATTGGTCACAGTCTGAGGGACCTGGCCCCACTTTGGGTGACCTGAGGGCCAGCTGGGTCCTGGGCACCTGGCTCCCTCAGTGATGATGGCTGGGCAGGGTCTGGGGACTTGGCCGTGAGGGTGCCGCCAGCTGAGATCTCCCTCTTCAGTCGGGCCTGGGCACTGGCAGGAGGAGCCGGACTGGGTGCTGGACGAATGCTCCCAGGTAAGGTAACCGGCGGCGCATGCACCCCCTCCTTTTAGCCTTGGAGGGTGAAAGTCAAGCCTTGGGACCTTGAACAAGTAAAATGAAGGGTAATGATGTTGCTTTGCTTATGGGATTTGTTAAGTGTTAAAAGCCACAAGGAGGCATGGAGACAGAACTAAATGCCTCCCCTTCCCTTTCTTGTCAGAACAGAGAATAACATTTGTTTTGGTGGAGGTTTTATAGGAACATCGTCACCTGGCCATGACCTGACCTCAAGAACAAAGGATCTGACACCAAGAAGTCTGCAACAACTAACCACGCCCCTCCCTCACCTTTCCTATAAAAGGGCTTTGCTGAACTCTTCTGGGGAGTTCAGGGCTTTTAAGGCATGAGCCGCCTGTCTCCTTGCATGGCCCTGCAATGAATGTTTCTCTGCTCCAAACTCCGATGTTTTGATATTGTTTGGCCTTACAGTGCATCAGGCACACGGACTTGCATTTAGTAACATTCTCTCCATGGGGTCTCTTCCTCCAGAAGGCTAGAGCTTACAGTATGGCAGCTGGGTTCCAGGACAGCAGGAGCTGCAGCTGTGGCCTTGCAGGGCCTGGACTGGGACAGTCAGAGCAGCACTGCTTGCCCACTTGAGGAGGAGCTTCTCACTTACACAAAGGGGTGAAGTTGATGGCCATCTTTGGGGCCCCCAGCCACCGTTATGGTCTTTCCCTATTTCAATTTTATTTATTCTATTAAAAAGGTGATTCAGGCCAAGTGGTGAAGCAGAAATTGAGGTGGGAGTAGGGTTCTGCCCACCATGTGCCTATTTCTTAGGGCTCAGTGCCCTCATTTGTTCCACTCAGGAGTTGAGAGTGGGCGGGACTTGATAGCATTAGGTAATTTTTAAATTAAGTGAAAAATGCAGGTCAAGCACTTGGCACAGAGCAGGGCCCATGTCTAGTGCTAGTTATCACTGGTTCCCCAGGCTAGAACTCAACCAACCAGTTTTCAAAACTACCCTTTTCCTTCTGTTTACCTTATTTATTATGTATTTAGTTTGTGGGTGCTGTAATATTTAAGAGTCTGGTTGAGACAAGTTTCTGTGGGTTCCCTTCTATCTTTCCTGGCTTGACAACAAGAACACCACCCCCACTACTGGGCTTCCTGGGTACAGCCCAGGGAGGGAGGTATCACTCCTGTTTCCCCCTCCTCAGGGCTGCATAAGAATAAAAGAGTTGGTGCCTGAAACATGCAACCTGGAAGGGGCACTCAGTGAGTTCAGTAGTGGAGGTGGTGTAGGCACAGAGACGTTAAGGAACTCGCCCGAGGTCACAGAGCTAGAAATGCCGGGTTTTGAACCCAGGCCACAGATGCTGGAGCACTGAGCGAAAACTCCCCAGGGTTCCAAATCAGCTACGGTTAGGGGAGCGTTTACTTCTCTACCACATGAAAGCACCGGACCCCAGACCACCGCCCCAGGTCCCCACAGCCTCCTGCGCCCAGGACCAGCCCATAGCCCACAGGGGCTGCTTATGTGTGTGGGCATCTTGGTGGGGGGCGGGGGACGGGTACAGGCCGACCAGGCCGCTAGAGGGTTCACTTGCAAGGGCGCCCAAAAGGATGAATACTTTGCCTTCAGCCTCTGAGATGTTGAATTGACCTAACTGGTGGTCCTCGGACCCACCTAAGCGCCTCGCTCCGTCGATCTCCTGAGGCCGAGCCGGCTCCCTCCCATGCCAGACAGTTCCGGGCGCCCGGGAGAGCCTGCGTCCGCGGCGCGCGTATCTGCAGGTCCCCGCGCGGCGCAGCCGTCGGGGCTTGAGGACGCACCAACTGAAACCCCGGCAGCCCGCTCTGGGACCACTTCCCCAGCTGCTCCCTCTCGCTTCCCGGCTCCGCTCTAGGGTGGGAGAAGAGAGGCGAGGTGGGACGAGGTGGGGCGGGTAGATTCTTCAGACTGGGACCGGTAGGGCCCGGGGTTGGCCGGAGGACGGGGTCGGGGGTCGGGGCCTGGCCGGGGCGTTGACCGGAGGGTGGGGCCTGGGCTGGGCGTTGGCCGGAGGGCGGGGCGGGAGCGGGCGGGGCGGGCGGGGCGCGGGCACGCGAGGGCTCGGTTGCCACAGCCGCGCGGGGCTCTGAGGCGCGATGGCGGCGCGCTGCTTGGGCCGCGGTGTCGTACGGCTCCTGGGCGGCCTTCGCGGGGTGGGCGCGCGGGGCCTGGCGGCCCCCCGGCTCTGGGGCAGCGCCTCCGCCCCCGCCGCGCCGGCCGGCTCGTACCAGGAGCGGATCGCGCTGGCCGCCAGCGAGCCGGCAGCCTTCTGGGGGCCGCTGGCGCGGGATGTGCTCGTGTGGGACACCCCCTACCACACTGTGAGCGACTGCGACTTCCGCAGCGGCAGGATCGGCTGGTTCCTGGGAGGCCAGTTGAACGTGTCCGGTGAGTGGGCCTGGGGGCCGGGGCGCCCCAGCTCACGCGGCCCGAGGGGACCCCGAGCCCAGCCGGCGGCGGCCCCACATGCTCCCTCCTCAGCGTTCGGGACTCGACCCCGGCGAGCTGCGCAGTCACCCCGCCCCCAACCACTAGCCCCGGAGACTCCCGGCCCGGCCCGGCCCGACTCCCCAGTCCCGGCTCGGGCACCCGGCGTCCCCCAAGTTTAACTGGGGCTCCCACCGTCCCGCACGGCGAGCGCGCCGGGCCGCGGTGGAGGCGGCGAGGGGCTCCAGGAGCAGGACTACCTGCTCTCGCCCCGGCGCCAGAGACAGAACCGAAAAGCTTCTGGCCGATGTCACCGCCGGGTGCCGGCCGGCGACCCGCCTGGGGAGCAGCCCTGCTCGTGTAAACAAATCGAGCCGTGGCGGGTGGTGGGGAGGAGGAAGCCCGGCCGGCAGCGGGAGTCAGCCCGCGGGCGGGAAGGAGGCAATGGTGGGGCCTCCTAGTGCTCAGTTTCCCCCTCGCCCCCAAGACCCACGGGGCTGGCTTTAGACCTCGTGCGACTGAGATCCCAGAAACCAGCTCCACCGCCAGTCAGTCCTCTGGTGTCTGCTGAGATTGGATCCACTACTGTTTTTGTCAAGATTGGGGTGGGGTGGGGAAGGGTGCACTGCACCCACCCCCTGCCCAGCAAGCGGAGAAGGCCCAGGAAATGAGGGAGGGCCCAGGCAGGCTAGGCCTGGGGTGGGGCGGCCAGAGGGGCTGCCTGTCAAGGAGGAAGCGGGTAACTGGGGATAGGTGAGATCTAGGGGGTGTTTAAGGAAAGGATCTGTAGGTCTTGGTGGCCAAGGCCTGAACTGGGCAGTGGGGTCTGAATCTCCCAGGCTCCACCATTTACTGGCCCACTTTTTCTGTTCCTCTGAGCCTCAGTCTCCTCCTGTGTAGACCGGAGGCAGTAATGCCCACCTGAGGGACTGGTTGTGAGGCCAAGGCACATAGAGCGATGGAACGGGCCTGGCACTTACTGGTGACCAATAAGTAGTAGTGATTTCAACTTGTGAAATTCAGAAATAGTCATAGAATTATAGGTAGTATCTTGCAGTTATTTTTCAAACAAAGAAACTTAAGGGAACTTCAGACCAGATTTTTTTTCATATGGTATATTGCTTTGCTGGTTTAATAAAAATGACTCAGTAGAGAAGTGTTTTCTCTAAACTTGAGTCAGCAGCGAGTGTCCTTGAACTATTGGGAAAAAATCAAACCCTTAGGTTTGCAGGGTTGGCGGAATGCGCCCTGGCTGGGGGAGAGCTGAGTGCAGAGGGACGCGCAGAAGGATGCAGCTCCTTTGGAAGCTGCCTTGGACTTGGGAGGCCTGAGACTGCGGGACATTCCAGGTTGACTCTGAACATGTGCCACCTTTCAGTCTCAGATAAGACGGGGGTCGGGGGGTGGGGTGGGGTGGGGTGGGGTGGGGGGGATGGATAACGACAGACATAATGGGACAGGCAGCAAGGGCCTCCTGAGCCTCACTTGGTCAGGGTCAAGGTCAGGGTCAGGGTGCAGCAGCAAGCAACTCTTCTGCCCCTTTTTCTTCACTTATTTCTCCTTTATGGTTACCTTAGCCAGAAACTGAACTTCAGAAAACTGCCTTGTAGAAAAACAGCTTTTCAGCCGCATTCTCACCTCAAATGTGTATGCAACCCACTCACCTGTCAGGAATATCTCTGCTGTTCGCCAGTGTCTGCAAATCACAGAGGTGATGGTATGAAAAAGGACCAGGCCAAGCCATGGCTGCCCTGGGAGCCACTAGAAAGTTGTGGGCTGGGTGGGGTGTTTTGGCATGATCTGTCTGTGTGACGATTGTGTGATGATGGCTTGTTCCAAAGGAGCATCGCTTGAAACTCGCTTTACCCCTTCAGGAAGGTCTGTACATACAGTTCTCAAAGTGTGGTCCCTGGACCAGTAGCATCAGCACGACCTGCAAACTTTTTAGAAATACAAGTTCTCAGGTCCCATCCTAGGTGGCCAGAACCAGAAACCGAGGGGTGGGTCCTCCAGGTGCTCCTGATACATACTTGAGGCTGAGAACCACTGACCTATGTCCAACCTGCTAAAGTGGGCAGAATTGGGAATTGTTTAACAGAGACAACTCTGTTAAACAAACAAAAAGAGTCTGTGGGTGGTTCTGTACTGTTGAGTCATTCCAGGTGTGTCTTTGGAGTCACACCTGGGTTTGAATCCTTGTTTTCCCAACTGTTCTTTTTTTTTTTTAAGTCTTGCCAAGTGCTTTTTTTTTAGTTAATTTTTTTATTGGAGTATAATTGCTTTACAATGTTGTGTTAGCTTCTGCTGTACAGCAAAGTGAGTCAGTTATACATATATATATGTCCACTCTTTTTTAGATTCTATTCCCATATAGGTCATTACAGAGTGTTGAATAGAGTTCCCTGCACTATACAGTAGCTTCTTATTAGTTATCTATTTTATATATAGTAGCATGTATAAGTCAATCCCAATCTCCCAATTTATCCCTCCCTCTCTCCCCTAACTGTTCTTTCGTGCGTCTCCTCTTCTGTAACATGAGAATAGTGCGTAACTGAATTCTGTTCCAGTTCCTATTGTTGCCATTTTATTAGTCTCACAGATTCCGTGGGTCAGGACTTTGGACAGGGCTGGCAGTGGCTTGCCTCTGCTCTCCGTCATCAACGTGACTCTAGTCATCTACATGCTGCTGACTCCCAAGTCTGGGGCCTGAACTGCAGGCTGGGCTCAGCTGGAGCTGCGGCCCAAAGCACCTACAAGGGGCTTCTCACAGGGTGGTGACTAGGCCCAGGGTCGTTGGTGGCCAGAGGTCCCAGAGACCAAGGCAGAGGCTGCTAGGCTTCTGACCAGCGCCGGGTGACCTGGGAACACCTGGGGCTGCTGTTACCATTGAATGAGAAAACACTTCGAAAGCACTCTGCACTGTCTTTAGAACATTCCTTGCACCCAATCACTGGCCTTTGTTAATTATTAATGAACCCTGGAAGGGAGGCTGTGACCTTGAACCTGGTGTTCATCAGTGCTGCTGAGCCTGCTGTGCTTCCTCTGAACGGGACCATGGGCATTTCCACCTGATCAGCCTGTTCCAGGAAGCAGGCTGGGGAGGGCACACAGGTGGCTGACGTGGCTCTGAAAGCCCTTCTTGGATCCTGGGAGAGCCAGGCTGTTGTAGGGGTGGGTAGGTCGTGGTGTCAGAGGCCCTGGGTTGGGGAGGTAAAGCCACACCCCCCTGCAGTGCCACGTTCTGGAAAGGATTCTTTCCAGCTTTTGAAGTTTGGCTCTTTCCCTTGTAGGGCTCAACAGATGTCTTTGCTCCTTGGGTATAAACTCCGAGATGTCAGGCAGTTGCAAGTGCAGAACTGGAGGGTAGTGACGCATTGCTTTCAAAACATAAAACTAAACTCTCCTTTGAGTCTGATTTTAAAAAACAAGTGTGTTTATTCTTACTTTCAAGCTCGGGTATAGAGACACTGTTGTTAACTAAGCATTGAACACAGAGATTCCTTGGACGCTTTTGAGAACGTTCCTTGCAGCAGTGGAAACCATTTCGCTGTAGCTCTCTCCTCTTCATGATGTGCCTCGAATAATTCAGATGGCAGACACACTGAGATGGCAAGAGCCTGCCCCCCGCGTTGCATTTCCTTCCAGCGACTGAAATAGCTCTCTCAGGTCCTTCAAGGAACTCTAAGTGGACACATGACCTCAGGTCTCAGAAGGAGCGTCCCTCAGAAAAGTCTGAATCCTCCCCAGTTGTTAGAGACGCGACCTACTTTAAATAGCAGATGCTTCTGGAAGGTTGGCAAATACAGTTTTTATGACTGATGTAATACCTCAAATTGTACCAAGGAGGTTTTCTATTTAAAGAAAACCTATTGTGAGTTCTTTTGTGAATATTAACTCCCTTATCTCTTCGGATTAAAATTGAATTTCTGTAAAGTGGGGAGGGGCAGGGATGCATTTAAACAACCAGCAAGAGTTTGTTGAATGAAAATGTCTGCCTTTGTGTGTACATGTTTATGATGGAAATGATGACCCTCTCATCACCTTTTCTTAAAAACAAACCCAAACCCACCACACACACCAGCTTACCTGCTTGCAGAGCTGTGACAGGCCCGGGTGCAGACTTGTCCTTAGGTGAATGAGATGATGCTTCATCTCCCATCATACCTGTGACACCAACATGACACCAACATGGTGGCCCCTTTGTACAGATGGGGAAATAAAGGCTCCAACTCATGTTTGGTGGTGAACGGTGCAGAAAATGCCCCAGTGCCTCGGAGCCTGCATTCTCATGAGACGGACCACAGATCAGTAAAAGAGCAGATCCACCCTGGGGAATGTTCTCAAGGTTTTTACAGCTGCTAAGGGGAGAATTAGGAAGTGTGTTCCACCATCCCCTGCCCCCCCTCCCGTGTTGAAGGAATCTTAGGGACATGGTCTCTGCCTGCAGGGACGTTCTGACCCAGATGGGGGAGGGTTTAGCGAGCTGGGAAGATGAGTGAGCGCTGAATGGTGTGGTGGGAGGGAGAGATCATTGTGTGCTGGGAAACTTGGAAAAGGCTTGAAATAAGAGGTCCGGTTTGAGCCAAGCCTTAAATTGCACTCTCTTCTTGCCCAGCTCTTCTTGGAAATACTTGGAAAGGAAATTCCCTTGTCCCGCTGCCCAGTTCTTTGGGTGGAGACTTTTTTAAAAATGGGGGATGTAAGAGTTTCCTTCCCTTCCTCCTTCCTCTTCTGTTTTCCTCTCTGCTGTTGAGGCAATAGCGGGAGCCATGCATACGTGTTAAGAGCCAACATACACATGGCATTGTAGAGCCACGTCGCCCCACACCCTGCACTGTGCTTTTCTCTGGGCGCTGTGTCATCTGAGTGTTGTCCATGGCAGTTGTGAACTGTGTTTCCCTTGGGGACACAGTCACAACATCTGACCCCATGGCAGGAAAACTCCAGTGGCATCTAATTACTACCATGACTCCCAGAGTCTGGAATCATTACCACCACCACGGATTAGGAGAGTGAGATTTAGCGGTGCTGTTTAGAGATAAACAAGTGAGTCTGCAGTTAGCGGCTAGCGAGTGGTTGGACAGCGGCCTGGCTCTAGAGCATGGTTTTAACCATGACCCCAGGCTGCCATCCAGTGGAGGCGTGGCCAGATGTCTTACAGAGCTCGCAAGAGTCTTTAATTACTCCTGTCCCCATTGGAAAAAGAAAGCCCCCCTGGAATTGGGAATATACATACCAGGTAGACGTGAGTGCATGTGTGTGTATGTCCGCCTGTGTGAGCGTGGTCCTGGACCACAGCATCATGTCAGATCTTGGTAGAAGTGAAATGCTTAGGCCCACCCCGACCTGCTCAGTCAGAGACTTAGGGTGGGGCCTCGCTACATGCTCATAAGTCCTCTGGGGATCCTGGGGCATTTAGAAGCCCTCATTTAGACCAAAAAGAAAACTTCTTGAGGGACTAAGCCATGAAGATGAGAAGAGGTCTCTTCCCTCCCCTGGGCATGGGGCCAACCTGGTGTCATTTGGACCCCACATTGCCCTCCAGCTCAGGGACTTGGGAGGTCCATCTGTCATCCATAGCTTAGGTGCTTCCTCTGCTCTGAGCCCCGGGTCAGGCTGCAGGTGTCCAAACAGGAACAGGGCATCTGGCCCCTGCCCACAGAGGGGCAGCTAGTTGGATACATTGCAGGAAGAGTTAAGAGTCTGGGAGGCTTGAGGTCCAAGGGAAGAGAAGTGCTCCATAACAGAGTGAGGACGTGTAGGCTGGGACCTGTGGGAGGGTGGGCACCAGATGAAGGGCAGGAGTGGTGAGGGTGGGACGGTGTACCCCAGGCAGGGTGAATCTGTGCAAAGGCCCCGAGGCAGGAAGGCCTTCAGCAGACTCGGCACGGCCAGTGAGGGGAGGGGACGGGATCCACCCCTGCTGAGAGTGGTCACCACCTCAGCTGCCAGGCGAGGGTATGGCCTCATCTGCTGCTTGTTCAAGAGAAGCCAGAAATCTGTGGTTTTAGTGTGAAAACTCTTGATTTCTAAACTTTGGACCAGACTGACACACACGTTGATGTTGGGTTTATTGTGTAAATCCAGGTTTTGCCACCAAGCCCCTTCTCAGTTTGCCTTCTTGCTTTCCTCTCTTCTATTATTTTGGCATTTTTTTCTCTTCTATTTTTCTAGTCATTCAAAGAACTTTCCTGTGTAAGTAGTAATTTTTCCCATGACATCTATCTTTATTTATTAAATTTTTTGAGGTATAATTTATATACTTGTTAGGAGCCAGAAAGTTGAAATGAAACTTTTTAATTTGTAAGAGTAAATGACAGATAAAATAACCTGAGAGGGAAAAATGTGATACACACACACACACACAGACACACACACACACAGACCCACACACACACACAGACACACACATAGACACACACACACACACAAGCTAAAGTTTGTAAATGTTTTCATGTGAGTTCACCCTGTTGAGGATCATGGGAATCACGTGGTTTGTTATGGGGAGGGCCTCCCATGACTTTTGTCAGAATGGTTTTCCATCAGGAATATTTGTAGTGACTCGCAGCAGGGTGATTATCAGGTGGTAGTTGACCTTGTGTTCCTGTGGTAGCACCTCAGTGTTGCCTTCCACCTGATTCTGACCCAGCCCTGTGAGTTAGATGCAGCAGTGGGTGCATCTCCCATTTATGTAGGAGGAGATTGATTTGGAGAAGATAGTAACTGCCCCAAAAAGAAAAACAAAAGAAAAATTTATGTACCTGGACATGAGGGTGACCCTGAAGACCAGGTGAGCAGTGGCTGCTGCCCCCAGAGCTGTTTGTGGTATTTATTCCTCTGCTGATGGGGAAGTAATGAAAACAGGCCACGAGGGCTGGCTGGAAGGGGCTCTGGCACAAACCGGCCAGAGCCAAGCTCACCCTGAAGTCCAGCCAATGGTGGTGAATAGGAGGTTAGCAATGAACATGATCCTACTAATCTTCAGGTTGACGGTAAACCAGCACAACTGACCTGTTTTTGTGGGCAGTCATGTGACCTGAGCTTGGGTAATGGACGGGAAGGGAGCAGAGCCTCCCGGAAAACTAGCAAGGCATTTTGCCATCATTGCATCACTTCTTGGGGGAGGGTTCTGGCTGGACACCTGAGAAGGGATGTGGGCCCTTGTCCTGGATCGCACCTCCACCACATGAGAGCCCACCCCACGCACACGCACTGATTCAGGGACCCTGTTTGCATCGAGTCTTCTTTCCCACAGCCCAGCCTGCGGCACTCAGCCCTGGCCGTGCACGTTAGAACCGCCAGGGAGCCTTGAAAACCACGGGGCCAGTCGGGTCAGGGTCCCCTGGGTGGGGGCCGGGGTTGGGACTCCTGGTGTGAAGCACCTGCTTCAGAGCATTCCCAGGGGTCACCTGTACCTGCGAGGTCATCTTTGTGTAGTGACCACCTCGTTTCTGCAGGCTCTATCACCGTTCTCCTTGCAAGGAAGTAGAAACCCGCCTCTGATGAGGGAAGGGTCCACCCCAGTGAGAGCAGCGCAAACCACTGCAAACCTGACCCTCCCCTTTCCGACTCCAGTGGCACCAAGTGTAACGTCCATGAACCTGTTTTTGTGCAGTCAACTGCTTGGACCAGCATGTTCGGAAGTCCCCGGAGAGCGTCGCTTTGATCTGGGAGCAGGATGAGCCTGGAACTGAAGTGAGGATCACCTACAGGTACCATGTGTCCCCTGAGGGAGGGCGCCTCTGTCGTGCTGGACGTCAGCACCAAACGCTGCTGCCGGGCTGTGACAGGAGGAGCCCCGGCCTCCTTGCCTACCTGGGCAATACTTGTTGTCTTTAGATTCCCCTGGAAGGAACTGGGTCCTCAGAAACAAATATGACAAACGTTCAAGGCACAGGGCAGACTCTTGGTGCGGTCCCGTGTGACTGTGACCTCTTCTGGGCGGGGGGTTATATGAGTATCAGGGGCCATGTTTCCTCTTGGGAAATGTTCTCTGGTCTCAGGAAAAGTAAACATGAACATGGACTGAATAAAGTACACGCTGGGGTAACTAAAATCAGCCCCTCTTAGTGTGCTTACAACTGTGGCACAACAAATAAAATGGTCTTTAAAAAGGGGCTAAAATAAAACAAACAAAAAGGGGCTACACCTGATATTTGTATCTGTGACTCCTTAAATAAATTCTTCACGTATCGTGTACGCCAAGCCTGTGTGTTGGGGGGTTGGAGCGGACCCGGCATCTGGGGGCAGGTGCTGGCCTTAAAGCCCTGCCCCCTCCCAGGACTGGCTTGCTCAGAGGTCTCTGGTCTGTCACCGCATCCCTGTGGGAAAAGCCCTTTGCTCAAGCTTCAACTTGCCTTTCCAGCGCTATCTCAGGAGGAGGGTTCAGAGGAGCAGGTCCTGACCGCGGGGACCCCTGGTTTCCTGCTTGTTTTTCAGATGCAGGTTTTATCACAGATCCAGGGCACCAAGCCTGGGGAAGCTGTGTTCAGCTGAACTTCTGGATGGAGCAAAGTGACATTCGTTAATCTGCTGTGGCTCCTAGTGCGTCCTGCCTTGCTTGTCCCTCCCCTGCTCCCAATGCCCCTCGGCCGTCACAGTCCCTCCCAGCCTTTACTGCCAGTCACTGCACTGACCTGGGTCCCCTGGACAGACACCCTCCTGACTCCATGGGGTCCACGCATCAGCAGCACTGTGGCCTGGGACCCCCGGGCCCTGCACACTGGAGTTGGGGGCACTGCTCTAATAGACAAGCCGCTCCGCTGTTCTTCACCCTTATTGGCCCGACTTGATCTCTGTGTGATTGTCCAGTAGATTAAGTCTCTATGGGTGGGGGTGGAGGAGGTCAGGGGAGTTCAGCTGTGGGCTAATTTTCTCCGGTCCTCCCGTGGACCAGGACCCGGAACTGGGGTTGGGCCGAGTCAGGCCCCTGAGAGCTGCTCGGCTGGACTGCTGAGTGTGTGTTTGCAACTGGGGGGGAGTCTCAGGACTGCAGCCATCTTGTTAAAACAAACAGCAACTTCATTTCCATAGCAGAGAAGCCCCGGGCAAGGTATAAACCTGTAAGTACAGGCAAAGAATTTATTATTCTCTCTCTAAAAATAAACAAGCTCAGCCTGAAGAAATGGTTTTACAAACTTCAGCTGGTCTTAGTGCCAGGTGACTGTTGTTATTTACTGTTTGAGGGAAAAGAGAAGTGTGTGAACGGGTTGTCTGTAATTGCAGCTAGTTTTTCTTTTCTTTTTCTTTTTTTTTTTTGTGGTACGCAGGCCTCTCACTGTTGTGGCCTCTCCCGTTGCGGAGCACAGGCTCCGGATGCGCAGGCTCAGTGGCCATGGCTCACGGGCCCAGCCGCTCCGCGGAATGTGGGGTCTTCCCGGACCGGGGCACGAACCCGTGTCCCCTGCATCGGCAGGCGGACTCTCAACCACTGCGCCACCAGGGAAGCCCCTGCAGCTAGTTTTTGAGGGACTTGGATTCATAATTTTCCTGGTCATGTTAGGTTTTTGACGTGAGATTTTCTTCCTCCTGTCTCAGAGGAGGGCTGCCTACACTTGGTGCTCGTCGTCCTGCCAGCATACAAACTGCCACTAAGATAAAGTGCATTCCTGCCAAGTGTCTCACATGGTGGCACCCAAGGTGCCCCAGGATGGTCACAGGCCTTGGCGACCTGAAGACCAAGTTCCAGACCCATGGTCTGAGCCCTTGAAGGAAACTGCGTGGGGATGTGGTTCTCACGGGCTGGGGTGCTGGAGGTGGATTCCTGGGGACCACGCCTGCCTGGTCTGTCCTAAGCTTGGGGCACCCATCTCAGTCCTCAGGTGCACAGAGCCTCTCCCTCCTGAGTCTGCTGAATTCTTCTGAAGAGGTGCACTTCTGAAGAATCATCAGAGAGCTTGTAACGTGAACCCACTCCTGTCCCAAGCCCAGTGATATGTGGGTCCACATGTGTTGCACACGCCCTCGCACACACGCCCTAAACGTGCACGTGTCTACAACCTGCTCTTGGTGTTCAAGGATCCTCCGGAGCCGCTCTCCCGGGTTGCAGGCACCGCCCTGCTCCTTTTCTGGAAGTTGGGCCATTGCCTGGGGGTGGCCTGTCTGCTGTCTTCAAGGTTCTGAGCACTGGGGTGTATGTGCAGCTGCACCTCCCTAGGGTGGGGGAGGCCTGGCAGGACCAGCTTTGGGAACCCCGGGGCAGCAGAGTGTCCTCAGCCCGGCCCCACCCCGCCTGCAATTGTTGCTTGGCTGGCGGCAATTCCCAGGCGCACCCTGGCAGCCGGGCTGAGGCCTCGGGGGCCCGCTAGGCAGCGCGTGGGGCGCCTCATGCTGGTGCCGGCTGCGTGGCTCTGGGAGAAGGACAGCCTTGTGGGCTGGGGTTCTGTCCTTCAGGCGCGGTGCTCCCTCCCTGATGGGAGGCGAAGGGGCAGGACCTCCGCCGTCTGGGATCAGCCTGGGATGGCCTGCACGTGTCTCCCCGGGAAGAGGGCAGCCTGTGACCTGAGGCCGGAGCCAGGGCCAGAGGGCCGCCCATCCGATTTCCAGCCTTCCTCTGCCCAGAGGTGTGTTCAGAACTGACCTGAGGGAGCTGTTCTCCCCAGCGAGCCAGCAGGCCTGCAAACCTGGGCCCCCTGGCACCGCCTGAGGCCTCCGAGGCCAGGGCTGCAGAGGCCAGGCAGGCACATAATCTGGGTGGCTCCCCGAGGCTGTGCAGCCAGATAGCACTGGGAGCAGTTCTTTCCAGCCGTCCACGTGCTTATTTCGCAAGATGGTCCTTCACATTCAGTTTAAGCAGACAGATTCTAGAGGCCCTTGGCGATGGGGATGTGGACAAACACAAATCCCTGTCCTCTAGGCAGGTGGTGCGGGGGCTCAAGACCATTGCCTGCCTGGAGCCCGGGCTCTGGGCCAGGGGTTTCCAAGCTGGGGACGGGCAGAGGGCATGGAGCAGAGCAGACGCTGTGGCTGGTCCTGGTGTTCTGTGCTCAGGACCTCTCAGTGGAGGGTGCCTGCGCTCGGACAGAGGCGAGAGCAGCCTGAGAGTATTCACCAGGCTCTGAACCAGGATCTCCCATGTGAGGCTCTCTGGACAGGGGTCCAGACATGAGTCCTTTAAAAAAACAGTTTTTTAAAAATTTATTTTATTGAAGTGTAGTTGATTTACAATGTTGTGTTAATTTCTGCTGTACAGCAGGGTGATTCAGTTATACACATATATATTCTTTTTCATATTCTTTTCCGTTATGGTTTATCCCAGGATATTGAATGTAGTTCCCTGAGCTCTACAGTAGGCCCTTGTTATTTATCTAAGATGTGACCTTTTAATTAATCTGTAGCATGTTTTAGCCCTGGCCTGGCCCTCCTCTGTGAACGCGGGTTGCCGTGAGGGCAGCGCTGCTGTGGTCATGGCCAGGCTGTGCAGCTGAGCTGGGCGTCTGGGCTGCAGCGGGGAGAGCAGGCCTGGCACCCCCCATGTGCCCACACGTGAGCCGAGTGGAGTTTCCACTGTGGGTCCAGCCCTAGAGGCAATGATTTCTGTAGTTGTTCCAGCTGGGCCTTCTTATGGTGGGGCGTGCACAGTGGGGAGCCCCTGCCCAGAGGCGCAGAGTGGACGGAAGGCCCCCTCCCCGCTGCCTGCCTCAGAGCCCCTCGGCCAGCGCGGAGGATGCCTCCTGCCTGGGCCAGCCGACCAGGCACTGGGCGTTACTGGTGCCTAGCGTGGGGGGCCCACTGAGAATACAGAATGGGGCCCAGCCCCTGGGGCGGCCCCCTGTCTGGGGCAGCCACACCAGCACCCCTGGGTAGAGGGTGCCTCGAGCTCTGAAGCCTGGAGGCACCTCCTGAGAAGCTGGCTTGTGCCCCGGGCCCCGGGTGTCTTTACGTGGCCACTTGTTAAGGTCACGGAAGGGCCCTGTGGGCTCTGGTGGGAGGAAGCAGGAAGTTGCTGTAACGCCGTTGGAGAAGACTTTGAGGAAGTGCTGGGGGGTTGGGTTTTGGGAGGCCGAGGAGGGGAGGCCCGAGCATGGAGGCCGAGGGCAGGGCCGGCCAGCGCACTGTGGGGTGAGGTGGCGGGGTGGGCGGAGGCCTGTGTTCCCGCCTGCTTTGTCCCCAGCTGTGTGTGACCTGGAGCAAATCTCCAGCTCTCTGACCCTGTTTTCTCCTCCACTGGGTGCTGGGTGTTGAGCAGCACAGGGGAATGAAAGCCGAGACCTGGGTCTGGGAGGATGTGGGTCTGATTTGGCTGTAGGTCGGGGCAGGTGAAGGGAGGTCAGTAGAGGATTTCAGATTTGACGAGGGGAAGGGCACGGGTGGCCCTGCGGCTGCTGCGGCCGGGAGGGCCGGGTGGGGTTTGCAGGGAGAGGTCCTCACGTCCGGAGAACAGTTAGGAGCCCGCTAAAAGGCAGCCCCCTGACCCTTGCATCTGGTGCTTCTCACCCCCAGATTAACTACAGTTTGCAGTGAGCAAACTCCTTTATTAAAATATTAGGGCAACTGAAGGGGAAGATCATTAATGGACATAGTGAGGCTGAGGGTGGGGTGCTTTGGGGTGAGCCAGGGCCGGTGACCATGAGGCTGCAGGACAGGGGCCCCTGGCAGCAGGGTGAGTGGGTTTGTCGGTGGGCTCTCCTCGGTGGAGGCACCGGAAACTAGTGGCTGCCAGGCTTGTGTGCAGTGTCCCCTGCTGGCCTCTGAGTAACTCTGATTGCGAAAC